GCCCCCTCCACAAAAGTCCCGGTGAAGCCGGCGACGGGGTGGAGGGAGAAGCAGAGAGCGGTACAGCGCTCGGCAGCCCAGCCGAGGAGGTCTGAACGGCAGGCAGGCCGGGTTTGTGCCCCGGCTGAGAGCGTACTGCTGTGACCCCCATGGGTATCTCGGTCTTCACCACCTGGGACCCGGTCTGAGAGCCCACCCACAGGGCAGCAACCAGTAGGCATGAAGGCTCGTCCTGGAGACCGGAGGCACTGCCCACGCAGTAGTCAGTGCCACCTCGCTGGCGCGTGGCGGTGGTGGGCGTCTGTGTACCCGTCAGGTGTCGGCCCCACACCGCTGTGCACAGGCTCCAGGGCAGGTGGGGGCACCCTCCCACCTCAGCCCGGGCACTCACCTTTGACAATGGCCAGTCCGTTCATGAACTGTGGAAAAGGCTTGTGGGGGGGGACTTCCAGGGTGGCCGCCAGGCTGCCAGCCAGGAGGTCGATCTTCCCGGCGTGCTGCCGGAACTGCTCCAGGTCCCGGGACAGCAGGCTACACTGCTCACTCTGCAACCGGCATCTCTCCTCCAGCTCCCGGACCTTGCACTGACGGCAGAGGCAGGACACAGGGTCAGGGGCAGCGTGGGCCATCCTTGGGGATGTGAGTGAGTGTAAATGAGTGCACGTGAGTGTGTGTGCAGTGAGCACGTATCCATGTGTGCTGTATGTGCACACGTATGTGCCGCATGCGTGCATGCCTGTGCATGGGGGGGGCTGCTTCCCGCCCTCCACGGGGTATGTCTGACAACATAACCTCCACACAGCCTGGCTGCAGGCCAGCGCGAGCAGCTCACGGGCACCGAGAATGGTGCCGATGCTCCTCTCTCCCACTGCGGCTCGCTCTGGCTCCATGCACAACCGGGCACTTGGTGGTTGGCACGCCTGCAAGAGCACCTGGAGGTTGGAGCGTGTGGCTGTGCCGAGTGGGGGACAGCCAAGGTCTCCCCACCCATGCGCCTTTTCCCAGGCCCAGCACTACAGACCCAGGGAACCCACTTGGGGCAACATGAGGAGACCCGTCTCTGCTAGGTGTGGTCACGTTGTTGCCCTGCTGACATCACAACGGCCTCTCTCCAGCCCAGAAGAGAGCAAGGTGCCTCCTCGGGGACGTGCACAGGAAGTGGCCCCAGCCGAGCTCCTCCCTAGGGCAGGGCAGCCCGCTCGGCTGCCCCCCGCCGATCGGTGGGCCGTGCCTGAGCGAGCCCTCTCTGGCCTCCTGGGACTCGCAGTCCTTGCAAGGTGTCGTCTCCCGTGACAGGAGTCATGCAAGATGCAAGACGCGGTGCATGCCCTCTTCCCACCCCCAACAGGACACGAGCTCCCAGGTCACCGTTCTGCCTCTGCACACAGGCCCGGCACGCCAAGCCTCTGCCTTCCGGCTCCTGGCATGTCCCCAACACACAGCTCAGCTCAGGCCCCGAGAGGCGCTCGAGAGCTGTGTGCTGGAGGCTGCCGGGAGCCCTGCGAACAGGCCTTGCAGTGGGGCCTGCCACTCTTCACCCCGGGAATGCGGGCACGAATGCCACACGCATTCAATTCCCCACGAAGGTGACAGCCCGAGGGCAGCTGCTTGCCTCTCACTTCCTGCAGACCCCAGCCCCGGGCACACTGTGGCACTGTACCGGCGCTCGTGGTGGCCATGCACACGGGGGCGTGGGAGTGGCCACCGTGCAAGATAGAGGGGCCCAGCCAGAGCAGACCCTCCCTCGCTGCTCCTTCCTCCTCCCCGCCACCCCCGCCCCTGCACAGGCGTCAAGCCTCCCAGTGTCCGGGTCCAGAATGGACTATTTGTGTCTGAGAGCAGGAATCTCTAAAAATAAACCTAACAGATCTCAAGACTATAATTAATTTCTTCAATTCATTAAAACAATCAGCACGATTGTTCTTTTTAAAAACTGAATGAGCTCAGCCAAGACAGCCGCCACTCCAGGGAGGAGCGAGCTGCCCTCGGGCTCCTGGCTGGGGCTGGGGCGGCCCTGGCCAGGCTTGGGGCAGGGTCTGCACTGCGATGGTGGCTGAGCCCCGAGACAGAGCTCTGGGGCCCATGCGGGCAGGCCGGGTCCTTGGCCAGGGACCGCTGTCAAAAGCCCGTGTGGGTGAGGAGGGAATCGCGCAGAGCCTGGGCTTCCAGCAGCTAGAGGAGCCACGAGCAGGTACTGGGAGCACACAGAAGGGCTTCGACATGGGTCAGAGCCACGTGTGCGCATGTGCACGTGGGGATGCCCGGGCGCGTGGCCATGACCTAGGGAGGTGGCTCGACTGTTCCTCCATTCGAGGTCCTAGAACGACAAGGTGCCGGGATCAGCGTCGTGGGCTCTGGGCTGGGAGGGCCTGACCAGTGCGGTGACGAGAGGGGGCTGTCCAGGACATTAAGCCGTGTACACCTGACTGTGCGTGGGTCCAGGAATCTAAGGTCGCGGCCACATTCTCAGGATGACACGCACTCACGCACACGCACACACACACACACACACACACGAGGGACTGCAAACACAGTGACATCAACTCTACACGGGCTCCGGGCCTGGGGACACGCCATGGCTCGAGACATGCCGGCCGAAGGTCCTGGGCCTCTCGCTCTTTGTGTAAACTCTTGCGAATCTAATATTAGCTCAAGATAAAAAAAATCTCAAGAAGCAAGTTGGTTTTTTAGACCATGAATGACCTGGGGCACAGACTGGGGAGGCTTTGGGCCAGCCGGACAGTGAGCCCAGCCAGCCGGCACTGCTGCTGTTCTGGAAGGAGCGCAGGGGGCAGGGGCTCTGTGGGTGCTGGGGAGGGAGCTGGCGTGGCCCCCGGGGGGCAGGGCCCGCGGAGGCAGAGCTCAGAGAGGAGGCCGCTGTCCGTCTGCCCTGGCCCCACTCAGCTGTGCTGATGACCCGCTGCGGCCACAGCCTGGGGCCTGTGCGCCCGGAGGGCCCGCCCTACATCACGTCCGCCCCATATCCATGCCCTGCTCGGACACAGAGGCCAAGACAGGCGGGCGAGGCTTGCGGGGTCAGGACCAAGGCCCTTGTCAGCAAGGCCACCGCCGGCTCCTGGCCGACGCCGCAGCTGCTGAGTGAGCGCGGCGGTCGTGCCTGAGTGAGCAGGGGCCGCCTGCGAAGTGCGGGATCCGTGGGCTGCACATGAACGGCCGCAGGGCTGTTCCGCAAAGGCAGAAGATGCCGCCGACCCACCACCGCGGAGGGCTGGGCCCGCTGCTCCCGGGACAGCAGCAACCAGAGCGTGGCAGCAGCCTTCATGCTGGGGCGGCCCGCGACGGAGTCGGTGCTGTGGGGTGACCCAGTTACTATCACCCGTGGGAGAGGCGGGCGGCTGGTACGGTCAGTACCGTCACCATCTGAGGTGGCAGCGTGCACACCCTAGGGGCCGGCCGGGTCGAGGGCAGTGGACGTGGGTGTTGAGCCCGGGCTCTGCCAAGCTGCCACAGCCTCCTGTCCCCAAGCGGCTCCTCATCATGCAGGAGCTCCTGGAGACCACCCCAGGGCCGCCAGGCTGCCGGCACCAGCGTCTCCTCCCGGGGTGTCTCTGCTCGGGCTCCGTGCCCCGCCAGCACATGAGCACGGCTCCGACCGCGTGGGTCCCAGGAGCAGGCATCCCCAGGGCGGGCCGCCATCCGTCCGGCACGTGGGACGTCGCAGGGCATGTGTGAGGGCGGGCAGGAACAGCGGGTGGGAACAGGTGCTGGGGCGGGGGCAGGCGTGTCTCGTCAGTGTCTTCTAGGCACGGCTCGAACCCTCCTGGGCAAAGTGTCCGGGCTCCCAGGAGAAGCAGGTGCCTCCATCTCAGTAAGGTCTCACCTGAGCAGGCCCAGCACCGCGACAGCAGACTAAGGCTTTTAGGGGTGCGTCGCTGATGTGGGGGAGCACCATGGGCTACGTCAGCACGAGCCCATCAGTCCAGCCCAGAACAGCCACGCAAGCTCCAATTTCACTTTAATTTTCTCTAAAACCAGCCACGGGGACCATGAAGCCACATGTCTGGATGGTAGATGCAGGAGCAGAGGTCCCCAAGCCGCCGCCTGGAAGGGACGTGTCACGGGGGGCCCGGAGCTGCAGGGGCGGCTGATGAGAGGGCAGCCCTGAGGCTAAACGTGGCTCTGGGACTCCTGGCACATCGTCGCCTGACCCCCCTCCGTCCCCAGTGCCCTGTCCCTTTGCCCCACGGTGCCCGAGCATCTCAGCAGGACCCTGGCAGGGCCACCTTCTCCCGGTCAAGGACCAAAGAGTTTAGGGACCCAGGGTTTTTGCTTTGATTTTCTCTAAAATCAGCAGTTTAGGACTGGTATAAAGTAACGCCCACGACCTGAGTGCCCGCGTCCTGTACCCACGGTCTCTCCACCCTCCGGAGGGCTGGGCTCAGAAGCCCCTCCTTAGCTGGGCAGCCCCGTGTGGGCTGGCTGATCCAGACCCCAGGCTCCCTCTGACCAGTCTGGCAGGTCGGCCGCTGCTGGGAGCGTGGCGTCTCTGGCAAGCCCCTTGCTGACCCCCGGCTGGGTCTCGGGAGCCCACCCTGATGGCCACTGCCCAGAAGTGGGAGCAGCCACTGCCCCCAAAGCCATGACCAAGCTCAGAGCCGTGTGTCGAGGGAGAGCCCGTCTCCAGCCCCAAGACAGCCAGGATGGCTGGGAGCACCTGTGGAGGGCGAGCAGGGAGCCTGCTGCTTGCCCCGGCAGAGGCAGGACACAGGCGGAGCAGGGTGACACTCAGGAGCGGGTGCATTCCGATGGCCGGGTGTCCCAGGCCAGAAACTGTCCCAGCCATCGGAACTCATCGGACAGGCACAACCTGGGCACAGCACGGGAAGCCGGTGGGCTGGGCCTGCTCAACACTGCCCACAGGACGCCACGCCCAGGCGCCCGGGGAAGGTGCGCTCCCCCAGGAGCTCCTGGAGCAGCCCTCGCTCTCGGGGCTGAGGAGCCCCACCCCGCCACCTGCACTGGGGAGAGCTGTCTCCATCGGAAGCCCTTCTGCCGCCCCCGCTCAGCAGGGCAGGGTTGAGCAGGCCCGGGCAGGGCGTCCATGCAGGGAGCACGGGCAAGCAGGCGGGACACTCTGGAGTACCTGCATGCTGTCCAAGGTGCTCTGGGCGGGCACGGAGCAAGACGGCAGAGACGCGAGTGAGACGGAGGGTCCCGCAGGTCGCGCGGCCTCTCCCGCCCCACGCGTCGCGCCATAGCCATGACCACGTTGCCGAGCACGGGCCGCCCACGGCGCCGGGACAGGCCACAGTGCACCGTCAGGAGCAGCCGCACCGGAGGCCGACAGCGGCAAGGTGGGCTGGGGCAGCTGGGAGGGCAGGGCGGGGCTGACGCACCAGAGACGGCAGCTTTCCAGGGGGCACCTGGGCCCGCCTCCCTTCTCCGTCCCTGTCTGCTTTCACCGTGTTCTCGGCCCTCCGCATAGTCATTAACGACGCTTTCCCGAGCCCACGCGGACACGGCTGCCTGGACGACAGCCCACCCGAGACATATGGCCCCAGGCCGCGCAGAGGGCTGTGTCTGAGGAGGCCACCACCCTCAGGCGAGACAGGTCACATTAGAGACCTCCAGAAAGCAGCCCTCCTGCTGGAAGGTCACAGCGAGGAGGCCAAGCCTCTCTGTGTGGATGTGACAGGACGTGAGGGGTGACTCCGACCTGGGGACGAGACGGCGGGGCAGGAGTGGTGACTCCCGACCTGGGGACACAACAGGACAGAACCGTGACTCCTGACCTGGGGACGCAGCGGACTGATTGGTGACTCGCTCCCAGTCTGAGGACGTGACGGTGGGGCAGGAGTGGTGACTCCCGACCTGGGGACGTGATGGCGGGGCAGGACGAGTGTGCCGGCTCCTGACGAACCGCCCGACCTCGGGATGTGGCAGCCACTTCCCTTCTGTGCCCCACTGTCAGGGCCCAAGGAGAAAGGTCTCTGGGTGGCCAAGGAGAGCCCCTCAACCACACTTGTGAGGACTGTGCCCATGGAGTGCCAGGACGGCAGCGGCTGCCTCGACTCCCCGAGCCTCCTTTCTGAGAGTACAAGGCCTCCCGGTGTCACTCCCTAGAACACGGCCCTCTGGTGGCTTGCTCGCAGGGAGGATGCCCCCGGGACGGCCGTCCACCTCCACTCCCAGCGAGTGACGGGACCTTCCCCGCCCCCACCAGGAGAAGCCAGCAGAGTGCAGGCCACACCTCACAGGCATGCTGCCCGCGTGTCCTCACATGCACAAACACTCAGCGACACGCGTCATGCAGGTGGCCGGGAGCCCAGCACGAGTCGGCAGTCAGTCAGGGCCTTCGGCGGGGCACTCCTGGCATGAGCGGCCACCCCTGGCCGCCCGCCGCCTGGCACACTCACCTCTAGCAGCTGCACGGCACCTTCATGCTCTCGCTCGGCCTCCACCTGAGCCTGCAGGACAGAGGGAGGGCAGGCCTCAGCGGGCGGCCGTGTCGGCACGGCACGGCCAGGCCCGGTAACAGGTCTGTTCCGCTTCACGTCCCCGATTTGAAGGGTCTCCGTCAGGTGCCGCCAAGTCTGCCTTGGACGGGCAGAAATAGAGCTTGGCGGGGTAATGCTCTTGGTGAAACAGGAAAGTGCTCCCCGCTTCCTGGCCAAGAGCAGGCTCAGGGGCTCAGGGAGCAGGGCAGTGGGGACCCGTTACCTTCCTGGGAGGGTCACCATGGAGGGGCCCAACCGGCAGGATGGCTATCACAAGGCCTCTGACAGCATCTTCACCCTCCAGTGTCCCTACTGCCAGGAGACACAACCTAACTCCACAACCATGACCCCCAAGTGTCTTGCGATTGTCTGGAGGCCTCGGCTGGCCCTGGGGGTCAGACACAGCTGGGCTCTGGGCACCTTCGGCCAGCGGCAGGGGGACCCACTTCACTGCACTTAAAGCATGCCCTTTGCCCCACAGAGAAGGAATTCCACACGATCCCGGGGTTGGGGCCCTGGATCCAGCCGTGCCTGAAGCCAGCTGTCGTGGCACGAGAGGTAAGTTCCCTCTGGGCGTTTCTGCCCCGATGAACAGTCGCTGACCATCTGAGGATATGCCCCTCCTCGCTGTGAGGTCAGAGTGGGAGGCCATGCCCTGAGCCAATACCGCGCCGTCACACGGGTCTCCGCAGCCTCACCAACATTCCTCATGGAGCAGGAGGACACAGATGCTGAGCTGACACCCAGAACTCCCCACCCTAGGTGCCTGGGGAGCTGTGAAGGACGGGCCCTCGTGGCAGACACAGCGAGCGGGCAGTCCCAGCGGCGGCTGCTTCTCACTGCAGAACGCCGGGCGGCAGAGGGGTCTGGGCTCTCTGGCAGTGACGGGCAGGAAGGCCTTGCGGCCCCGGGGAGCTTGTTCATGCATCTCGTTCTCACGTCTCTCCAATGAGCGTCCCAGAGCGGGGCGAGAGCACAGCCACCCCAGACAGTAACCACACCATCCTTACACCCCGCTGTCATCGGGTGCTTAAAATTGTCCTTTGAAGGCAAAAACGGCGAGAGCAAAAATAAATAACAGAAAAAAAGGCCAGCAGTCAGAACATACAGGATTGTGTAAATGACACCCCACTGAGTCAGGCGAATCACAGAGGGTTTCAACCAGCAGGATGGAGAAAAGCCCAAAGCTCCCTCGCGGGCTGCAAGGACCCGGCCAAGTTGGCAGTGACAGCGCAGTTCCGGCTCCAAACGCACACTGGGACCGGCTCTCATTGCTCGTGCACAAGGCCCTGCGGGGCAGTCGGCAAGGACGGCTAAAACCACAGCTCGGGGGGCAGCGCCGAACTCACTAGAACCACAGCTCGGGGGGCAGTCGGCAAGGACGGCTAAAACCACAGCTCCGGGGGCAGCACCGAACTCTCGCTAGCATCAGGCAGGAGCTGGAGGGCGGCCCGTTTCCGAGCCCACGCCCACAGTGGGAAAGCGTGACCTTCACTGAGACACGACCCCCTGAGGGGTCGAACTTCAGAGGTCCTGTGGGTGCCCACAGAGCTCTCAGTGCTGCAGAAGGGGCCACTACCCGGCAGCTCAGACACCAGGGGCCGGCCAGAGGCAGCAGGAGCCGTGTCGAGAGAGACGTGCGTGTGGAGAGGGGCTGTGGGTCCCTGTTGCCGATGCTCCGGGCCTGCGCCGGGCAGGCTGGGCTGGGACGCCCACACACGAGGCCTGCCAGCCCGGTGGCCGTTGCTGGGGTGAGGGCTGGGCTGGGACACTCACAGTGACTCATGAAAGGGACAGCACCAAGGGCCGTAAGGACCCGCCCGCGCCGTGGCGCTCTGCAGAGCAGGGGAGCTATACGCCCACTCTGGCACCTGGGACGTGACCGGGAAGGCGGCCACGGTGGTGCCGCCAGGAGCCAACCCACACGGCGGCCAGCATCCCCCGCCCGGCGCACACAATGGATGTCGGACACCTGCGGGAAGTGCTTGGGACTGAGCCAGAGCACGAACCGCGGCCACGGCAAGCTCGGCCTCCCTGGCCACGCCTCAGCCACGGCGGGCTGAAGGCAGCCATCTCGAGCGGGAGCAGGTCAGGCAGCGGTGCGGCCGGCCGGTCTGTGGGTGACTGGTGCACACGGAGACCTAGCCATGGTGTAGACAAGCCCTGAAACCCAGAGCAAAGAGCGGGCCCAGGACTCCCAGCCTGCCCCACGTGGAGCAGGAGCCACACTGAAGCTCGGGACCTCGTCTGCACCGGGGCAGAAGGTCCCCACGTGGCATGCCATGCAAGCGCTGACGGGCGGCATTGCAGCGTGTCGACCAGGCTGGGTCACTGCGCTTTGGACAGCACCGTTTCTCCACAGACGTGTCAGGGGTCAGACGTGCCCACTCGCCCCTCCGGGGTTGCCGGGCGCTTGGCCCCCCCGGTACTCGCCGAGTCCCGCCGAGGGCCAGGCAGCGGCCCAGGCCCCTCGCGGCACTGAGGTTCAGGTGGAGACAGACAGGAGGCAGGCGGGCCAACAGCAACGTGTCTTCACCGTGCTGGGCCTGGAGTGAGGTCGCACCAGCTGGGGATTCCGATGACAGAGACGCTCAGTTCTGCGACTTTTGGGGGGCAGGCATTCTGGGCAGACCCCGAGACGGGACTGGTGTTGGTACAGTCAAGGAGCAGAGGCCAGTGTGGCCGTGGCACAGCCAGCAGCGGGTGACAGGGAGGGGAGGCGACAGGTGGCTTCAGGAGGTCGCGCCCGACGCTCTGCTCTTCGCATGAGGGCACGGGTGGGGCCCCGTTCCTGTGCGGGCCTGTTCAGCCTCGCCCTGGGCCCTGAGAGGTGCGTGGGGAGAGTCTGCTGGCTGAGCGACCGCAGCTCGGCTGGGGATGGCAGGTGGACGGGGTGGGATCCAGCCTCCTGCTTCCTGCTTGTGCGCCTGCCTGGCTCCCCGAGGTGAGGCAGGTGGCCGGGAGCTCCTGCCCAACCTGCACCCGTCAGGCAACCTGTGCAGCTTGCTGTCCTCCGAGCACTGAGTCCACGCTGCCCCCGTCCACAGGCATCGCACACGCCTCTCCCGGCACCCAGGCTGGGCTGTCCCTGGACAGGGCGCTGGGTCGCCGGTCCCCACGCCAAGTGCCTGAGCGCCCAGCACCTCCTGGGGGCTGCTACCACAAGGAGCCTCTGAGGGCCGTACGGTGTGGTACAGCCCCGCCCCGCATGTCAGGGAACGCCCTCGGCCTCCTCGCACACGTGCATGGAGAACACAGATCTGGGTTCTGGGGCCCGCGCGGGTCGGCCCGGCACAAGACCCCAGCTCCACACCCGGCCGGGACCAGCACCCAGACCGGGTCTTACGAGGAGCGAAATGAAAAGGGCGCCTTCAGAGGGCGGGGCCTGGAATAACGCGTAAGGGGTTCTAGCCTAGGGCAGCCCAGCGAGCAGGACGGGGCGTCCAAGAGAGACAGGCAGCTCAGCAGG